TTTAACTTTAAATCTAACAACATTTAGGTTTTATACAATAAAAATTTTGGTCATATATGTAAAAATAAAGAGTTATATGCTTAAATGATGTAGCTCGACGAACAGCTAAATGTAATTCAGGAATTTTAGCTGTTTTGTTTGGTTGAAAATTGTAGCCTTTTACCTTAACTATGGCAAAGCCAGTTCTTCGAGATAGAAGCCTTTAAGCCTAAATGTATTTTATAATAATTTTAGCTAAATCATCTTTTTTAATAGGTCCACAATACATAGACTCACACCTATTGTCCTACTGTATTCAAATTCTCATTGTAACTAATAGAAAAATCTGCTTTAATATAGAGGACAGAAAATTGCTCGTGGAAATATTTAATGTTCTTTCAATAAAAATGCTTGAAATAACTGCAGCTAGACATTTGTCAGTGCATTATGTCGAACACAATTCAATGCGCACGAGAACGTAATCTTCTTAAATGTTTTTTATTGAGACTGAGAATGTCAGAGGACGAACTGACAACTATCATAAAATAAGTTCCTAATGCAGTGTCGTTATAAATTTACAATTCAATTTGTTATACAGACATATATGTACTTGTTTTCCCTTTTTATATACATGTAGAAACCACAGAGAGAAGTTTAAGCTTTTAGCTGTCATAGTTTCTTGTTGCTTAATTTAATATTTTCATTTAAATGAATTAAAAATATATAAAAGCGCAGCAAATTAAATCACGCAACTATTTTGCGCAACAGAGAGTACAATTAAACGCCTTCCACACGTGCAAACCCACACACAGACACGACTGACAGACAGCTTAGATGAAGGCGTTGCACTGTCTAGCAGGCAGACACCACGAACAAACGCCGCAAGTTTAATCGAATTAAACTACTCATAATGTGCAACAGACAACAAGAGCCAGCTGCAGARTGCGATGCGAAAAATCATGAAGAAGCAGGAGCCACAGCGGCAGCAACAGCAACAGCAGCAGGAGCAGCAGCAGTTGACACTGCATTGCCGTGAGGCGCATAAAGTTAAGCACTAATCTGATTAGGATCATCATCCCAGGCTCTACTGTCATAGGTACAATCAGTCAGTGGCTAAAAGTTGAGCCGATACGGCTGCCGTAGAGACACACAATCATACCAAGGTGCAAACCAAAAGCAACGGGGGAAAGGAGCGACAGCAGCTGCCGTTAGCATTTGCAGGGCGTGGAACCAGCTGATGCGCTCTGGTTCTCTTGCTCATCTGGGAGTTGTACGTGAGAGGCTCAATTACGGCTAACGCCACGCCATGCCCGTTCGGGCTGGGCGTGCGAATGGGTTTTATTATTATTTACATACCTGTTGCAGCAGGGGCATTGTTTTGAATAAAAATTCCAATTTCCACACTTGTATTTCACGTTGCCGTTAGTCCTGTCGTCGTGTGCGCTCCTTCTCGGCGTCGGCGTCGTCGTTGTTGCTGCTGTGGTCGCCTGTCGTCGGCTACACCATCGGCTGCCGGATAAGCTGACAAAGCGGCAAAACAGATGTCGCCACTTCCGTATGCTCGCACCTCTCCGCCCCTTGGCCTCGTGTTGTGCCGGCCAACGCAACAAAACAGCAAACAGCTCCAAGCTCCAAACGGCTTGCCTCACCACTTGCTCTCCGTTCGCTGACGTATGCTCTCGCTCTTTTACTCTCCCACTGTGGCCGCTCTCTGGGCATACGCTCAATGGTTTGTGCTGCGCAGCGAGTGTCCTCTATTTGAGCAATGTTCGACTCGATGATGCGGCTGCCCAAAAATGTTGTCTGGCGTGCCTCAGGCAAACATGTTTGCTGGCCAAAATGGTATGCTTAGCTTTTATAGTTGTTGCTATTGTTGTTGTTGTTGGTAATAAGGATTTGGCACCACTCGGCACCTCACTACGCAGACAGCAAGCAGATGCGGCGGCCGTTTCAGCTGACTCAAATAATCATCGATTCATTATTCCCTGTCAATGATGAAAATCTCGGGTTGCACCCTCCTGAAGTAAATGGTAAAGAAACAACAAACTTTTTATATTATCTACAGAATGGAATAGAAATTATAGCTTAAAATTAAAATTTGTTAATATATATTTAAGCTAATAAAAATAAATTTCATCTTAATATTCAATTGTGGTTATATATGATCGTTTAATATTAAAACTTGTATTTATAACTCTAAGATTCGCCTCTTTTATATATAGTTGATAACTGAAAACACAAGGTTTTTACAAATTGTATCATGCATTTTAAAAAATTCTTTTTGGAAATTTGGGAAGCAGCTTTTATAAACATTGCGTTGACTTTCCAGAAAAAAAGAACCTATATTTCGAAATTATTTATCAATTTCTTCCTTTTTATATGTTTAAATTGATTGAGAAAACTTCAAGCTTAGCTTAGCTACACCAGTTTCAATATTTACTGTATATTCGTAATAGGATTTAACGGTTTCTTTGATGCGTATAAGTCCCTAAGTCGGCAACAAGCACGCACACGCAACAACATAAACACACACACATACGCACGCATACACACAGCCACGCACACTATTCAACCATTCTAAATGAGCTCACTTAAGCGTTAAACGCTGTAAATCGATCAAGGCGTATCCCCGCAAACATAACTGTAATTAACCATTTTCCGTCATGCCCCCGTTTCGTAGTCAACGACAAGTTCTTTCCAAGTGCTTTCGTTCGAGCGACTGGTTCATAATTTTGTCGTTCACAGTAATTATTTTAATTTTTTTATTTCTCCTTTTTTGTATAGCTAAATGTGGTGATGGGCCAAAATGGACACGGCACTTAAAAGAGGAGAATCCTGTGCTATGCTGAGGACGCGTTGATGTCTATGTATATGTGCATGCGTCTCGGCCGTGTGCGTGTGCCAGCGGCTGTAATCCTTTTGAGAAACAGGAAGCGAAGCTATTATTAGAACCATAAATCAGCATGAAATGAGCAGAACGCCGCAGAGCCAACAACCAGCAACAGCAACAACGAGTGGAACGGAGCGCCAACGGAGCTTGGGTAGTTTTTGTTCTTGTTCTGCTAATGTTGTTGCTGTTGCTGTTGTCATTGACGTTGTTCTTGTTGCTATTGCCCGTGGTCCTCTCTGTGCGTATTCGTAGTTGTAAAAAGTGGTCGACTAGTAGGAGAGTGGTATTTGTTGTTGCTGGAGCTGCTGGGCAAATGACGTGAGTATGGTAAGGCGTGCGCGACGTAAAACACTCATGGAACAACGGAAAGTTGTAAAAAGACAGTGACGAGGACCGACGATTCCGACGCCACAACAACAGCAACAGCAATAACAACACAAAATCAACACGCACTATAAAAGGGCATTGAAGCTGCACTCGATGAGAGTATAACTGCATCCGAGACTCTGCACAATCCGGCGACTTAGATTTGCCCTTACAGCACTCCTCTGGGTACACTCTTTGCACACAACAACTATTAAATTTGCCGACTATTGCTGTGCCGGGCCCATTTACCTTTTTAAATATGCATACATATAAATGTACGCCTGTTTGTACACACGTAGAACGTTACAATTTCGCAAGTATGCCTGCACGCCTGTATATATGAATGAATGTGTTTATGTGAGTATTTACATACCCGAAATTGTAGTAGTAGCAGCTTATGTTTAGTTTGTTGCACGCGTCACTCACATAAATTTTTTTGAATTTAATTTTAATTTTACACGCGCATTCAGTTTTTGCCGTTCTACTGCATGCATGCAAAGCACATTTTTTTCKCACACTGTGCCATCCGGCTTTTAACCGTTACTTCAAGTTGTGTTGTGTGCTTTGCACGCGTTTTCGTTAATTTTACTATGCTACTGTTGTTGCTGTTGGTGTAGTTTGCAGTCTCTTTCTTTACACTTGTAAAAATAGACTACAAGATGAAGGCGTTTTTTGTATATTTTCTATTTTATTTTAAACAGCAACGAATAAAGAAGTGTTTTTATTTGCACTGCCTCTGGGCTCAACTTTTTCTTGTTGCCGCTCCAGCCAGAAATGCAATAACCTCACCTAACGAGCAATTGAAATACACTGAATCCTGCCGACGACAGATGCTGAGAGAGCGCAAACGAATCTCTATGTAGGTTGGCTGCTGCCCTAATCTCCATCTCCAACATCAAAATCAAGCGCAGGACAACATACAAGTTGCAAAGAGGTTCGTTAGGGCCATTGAACATTTAGAATTTGTTATTGGTTAAATTATTAACAGAAAGCTTATAAACATGTATTAAACTATTTTATTAATAATATTCATTTATACTCATTTATAATTTTATTAGTAAAATCTATTTCTCCTATTGGTTTGATAATTTTGAAAAGCCGAGCCAAAAATTTCTCGCAGTGCCACTGCTCATTTTGTGTGAATGCCATAATCAGCTGTTGACATTGGCGTTGCCAGATAACTTGTTTCAGTCCAACGCTAGCCGGCAAAGAAAAACTAACAAATTGGTCAAAAACATTTCGAATTCTTAAAATTATTTAATAAAATGGCTGGGGATAGTGAAAGCAGCAATACGGAAGGCACAAATGATCACATAGACCTATCTGTGTATAGAAAGCTAGTTCGACAGTTTATAGACATGGTAAATGAAAGTGAAATATTGTAATCAATTTGTAAACAACATTTCGATGTATTTTTTCGTAGCGTCGATATTCATCTGCTTTATTTTGGGCAGAAAAGGTGTCTGTCTTAAGCGGCCATGAGCCACGGGATGTTTACTACCAGGCACAGTGCATGTTTCTACTTGGCGAGTTCCATCGCGCGGCACATACAATCCAGCACTACAAGCTAGAGAAGACCTCATTGCCGTGCTTGAACCTGCTGCTCGAAAGTCTCTATGCGGCCAAGCAATACAACGAAGCAGCAAATGTAATACAAATTGTTGAGGTGGAGACAATGACCACATCTTTAATCAATCAACCGATGGATACAGCCAGCGGCATCTATTTGGAAAGCAACAGTGTCTTTGGCGGCGAAGAAAACAATCGAAACGAATTGCTGGCTTCTATATTCCTGATCAAGGGAAAAGTATTTGAAGCATTGGATAATCGCGGCATGGCCATGGATTTCTATGTACAGGCTCTGCACAAATCTATTTATTGCTTTGAGGCACTGGAAGCGTTGGTGCAGCACGAAATGCTCATGGCTTGGGAGGGTAAATAACCAAGGCAACTAGCTATGCTCCCATAAACACCAATTTGACTTTATTATAGAATTCGAGCTGATGCATCATTTGCCGCTGGCGCAACAATCAACCGAAGCGGATGCCAAGTTCATTCTTAAACTGTACGAGTCCCGATTGAAAAAGTACTATGAGCTCATATCAGCACGCAATGCGGAAGAGATTTCTCCCATTGTCAATCCGGACGTGCTCAAGTATATCAAGGAGTTTACTGCACGAGTGCAGCAAACCTGTTCAACGGATACACAGGTACCCAAGCCCTCTGCGTCCAAGGTGCCAATGTCCTCAAGTCAGTTTATGTCACCCGCACAGAAGTGAGTATTAATTAAGCAATGTTTTATGGCTCGCTCTTATCAATAATGTGCAAATTTTACAGAGTGCTGGATGATCTGAAAGCGCCAACGTTTTCTCTACAAACAAGTCTGTCCCGTGCGTCATCTATGATAGATGCCACCCACCGCTCGCTCTTTGATGCATCCCATCGCCGAGGCTCGCGCGAAAATGACAGCGACAGCTTAGTGCCGCTCAACGATTGCTTGAGTCGGGTGCAGCGCAGCACAGATCTTCTTGCTGCTGAGGCTGAAAAATGTTTCTATGACTGTGACTACAAGCAGTGCTTGAAAATACTAAATAGGTAATTGTTGCATGAGCTGATTTCATATTTATATTGCAGTAATATTTTTCATATAGCTTGTTGAAGGTTGATCCGTTTCACAATAACGCACTGACCATACAAATTGCCTGTCTAGTGGAAAATGGAGATTTCAATAAGCTCTTCTATGTTGCCCACAAGTTGGTTGATCGGTATCCAGACAAGGCCATTTCATGGTATGCAGTCGGTTGTTACTATGACATGATAGGCAAGAGTGATCCAGCACGTCGTTACTTGTCGAAGGCCACATCCCTGGATCGCCTCTACGGCCCCGCCTGGCTGGCCTACGGACACTCCTTTGCCAATGAGAATGAGCACGAGCAGGCAATGGCTGCTTACTTCAAGGCTACACAACTAATGCGCGGCTGTCATTTGCCTCTACTATACATTGGTGTCGAGTGTGGACTTACCAAAAACCTGGAATTGGCAGAGAAATTCTTTTTGCAAGCCATGACAATTGCTCCCATGGATGTTTATGTGCTGCACGAGCTGGGCGTAATTAAATACGAGTACGAGTACTTCGATGGGGCTGCCACAATATTTCAATGCACAGTGGATATTGTTAGGCAGCGGGCCAAGGCCAACAATGAGGAGGTCTCGGCTCGCTGGGAGCCGCTCTTTATAAATCTAGGTCACTCCTATCGTAAAATACAAAAGTTCGAGGATGCGCTATACAATTTTCAATTCGTAAGATCAATGTTTGATTCTATTCTATTTATGCTCGTAATGAGTAATGCGTAAATCTGTTTGCAGGCGCTTTTGTTGAAACCCCAAAGCGGCAATACATACACTGCCATTGGCTTTATACACGCTCTACTTGGAAACTTGGACGAGGCCATTGAGTATTTCCACAAGAGCTTAGCACTAAATCGGGATTGCATTGTTACGTCTACAATATTAAAGGATTGCATCGAGGACTTGATGGATGATCCCGGCACCATCGATGAGATCTGTAGCAAGGCACCGAGCGATGTAACTGAATCTATTTCGGCGAGCAGCCGACGCGTACTGAATACTGATAAGTTGAGTGGTGTTAAAATGAATTTGAAATTCGAAGAGGAGGAAGAGTTTTCAAATTCAGACTCGAACATGGTTGTCGAGATGAGCTTCGATGCATAGAGGATCAGCTGCAATAAGCTCACACACCCAAACACGATAAAACTAACAAAAAGGTCAACATTTGAGTGTTACCAATATATGTTTTTTCCGCTGCCTCATTAAATATTTCCCATGTACTAATACAATAATTTGGTGATGACGGCTGCCATCTGCACTTGAACCCAATTTATGCACACGGCTTACACAGCTGTTCCATCTAATGAGCCAAAAAGAAGCATGGGATTTTTCATGACGTTTTTCCCATATTTTTTTAAGCCGCCGCATTGTACAAAGTATTTAAGTAAGTGAACTGATCACATTTCGATCATTATAATACTGTCACAGTTTCAAATTCACTTGATATCCTATAAGCAAAGAATTTCAATTTATTATAATTGGAAGGTTCTAGCTAATTTTAAAATTCATACACTATAAATTGAATTAAATTACTTAAATTGAATCGCAAGCTTTTTTAATTTCATGCTAGGATGTACTAAGTGTTATGTTTATTTATGAATACGTGTTTCTTAAGCGTGCCTGTTGATATTTCCAGTCTAAATCACAGCGGCATTATATAAAGCAATTGTGGCATATAAATCCATCTTGCATAGAGGTCAAGACGATAATGCTTATCGGGTATTGCTATGCGCGAAAAACTAAAAAACTACATTAAGAAAATGTCGTTAAACTTTGTGTATGCAAACAAACTACTGATACGATTTATGAAAGTCATTTCGCCCTAAAAACAAAAACAATATTATATAGTAGAAATACGGTTGGCTCTGAGCGTTATCCAAATATTTGTCCACCAATAAAAGAGTGTGACGAGCCAAGACGATGACGATAACAACAACAACTCTGTYGAGTGCACGACTGAAGGTCTGCCGGTAAAAAATTTGTTTATGTGTATAAAAGCTCGTTACCGACTGATAAAGTCGGGCACGCGGTACAGAATTGAGTATATATATCCAGTTCTCTCCAGACCGAAGCACAGTCAAACTTTAACCAGCAACCAAAAGAACTAAACAATCCAAACCATCTAACATGTCCCGATTAGCTTTGATCCTACTTATGGGCCTGGCTTGTGCACAGGCTGTGCCATTGGCCCTCTACGACGACATTGATGACACCGAGGTCATTGAGCTGCCCGAGAACGGGATTGAAGAGGCGCCGGCGCCTAGTAAGGACACCATTGATCTGAGCTCTTATGGTAGCGCCTTGTTCGGTGAGCCGGATCAAGACCGCACAGGCGCTTTGGTAGGCAACTTCAGTGCTGAAACGGACACAGTGAATCCCGAGGAGCTGGGCAGTTATTTGGAAGGCGACATTCTCATACCACAGGCGGCTGTCTCTATGAAAAACGGGTTAACCACACAGAGTTCGCGCTGGCCCAACGGCGTTGTGCCATACGAAATCCGCGGCAGCTTCAATGCGCACGACATGGCAACGATTCAGAACGCCATCGATCAGTACCACAAGCGCACGTGCATTCGATTCGTGCCCCGCAGCACTGAGCGTGATTACATTTCGATTGTGAGCGGAAGCTCGGGCTGTTGGTCATCAGTGGGTCGCGTCGGTGGCAAGCAAGAGGTGAATCTCCAGTCGCCTGGCTGCCTTAGCCGTCCCGGCACAGCCATACACGAGCTGATGCACGCCCTTGGTTTCCTACATGAACAGAATCGCATGGAGCGTGATAGCTATGTGGCCATCCAATACAGGAATATTCAATCCTCGGCCATGAGCAACTTCGAGAAGGCCGCCTCAACGGAGGCTTTCGGCGTGCCATACGATTACGGCAGCGTTATGCACTATTCAGCGAATGCCTTCTCTACCAACGGACAGCCGACTATAGTCGCCATGGTGAGTGCATGGAGTACCTTGAATTTAAACTAACTGTAAACCAATCTGCTTACTTTAACGCACAGCAATCGCAGGGTTCGTCTCTAATGGGCCAGCGTAAAGGATTCTCAGACCTCGATGTGGAGAAATTGAATCGCATGTACGACTGTGGGTATGTGGGTGGAGCAGCGCCAGTGCCCGGTGCAGGCACTGGAGCACCAGTGGCAGCTCCCGGTAGCAATCCCATCGTTGATAGTTTCCTCAGCGGCCTCATCAGCGGGCTGGGCCTTGGAGACGGCCATGATGAAAAGGCCGCGGCAGCCAGCAGCTAAACTAAAGATCCCACTCCCTTCACACGATCACCCACTGCGAACAATTATTTAAAGCATTCCACATACACCCTTAGCCTAGAACTATTTATCACGAATCTCTGCCTGATCAAATTAAATAAGAAATAAATTAGCAAGAATTTTAAATATATTGAAATATGTGCTTTATTTCGCTTTTGAAAAAGTAATAATAATATATTTAAAAAAAAAAAATTTTATTAGTTATTAAAACTAAAAAAAAAA